GATATCCTTGTTAACTTTCTGTCTTGTGGATCTGTCTAATGTTGACAGTGGGGTGTTAAAGTCTCCAATTATTATTGTGTGGGAATCTAAATCTCTTTGTAGCTCTTTAGGGACTTGCTTTATGAATCTGGGTGCTCCTGTATTGGGTGCATATATATTTAGGATAGTTAGCTCTTCTTGTTGAATTGATCCCTTTACTATTATGTAATGGCCTTCTTTGTCTCTTCTGATCTTTGTTGGTTTAAAGTCTGTTTTATGCAACCCCTGCTATTTTTTGTTTTCCATTTGCTTAGTAGATCTTTCTCCATGCTTTTATTTTGAGCCTATGTGTGTCTCTGCACTTGAGATGGGTCTCCTGAATACAGCACACTGATGGGTCTTGACTCATTATCCAGTTTTCCAGTCTGTGTCTTTTAATTGGAGCATTTAGCCCATTTACATTTAAGGTTAATATTGTTTCATGTGAATTTGATCCTGTCATTATGATGTTAGCTGATTATTTTGCTCGTTAGTTGATGCAGTTTCTTCCTAGCATCGGTGGTCTTTACAACATTGGCATGTCTTTGCAGTGACTGGTACTGGTTGTTCCTTTCCATGTTTAACACTTCCTTCAGGAGTTCTTGTAAGGCAGGCCTGGTGGTGACAGAATCTCTCAGCATTCACTTGTCTGTAAAGGATTTTATTTCTCCTTCACTTATGAAGCTTAGTTTGGCTGGATATGAAATTCTGAGTTGAAAATTCTTTTCTTTAAGAATGTTGAATATTGGCCCCCACTCTCTTCTGACTTGTAGAGTTTCTGCCAAGAGATCCACTGTTAGTCTGATGTGCTTCCCTTTGTGGGTAACCCGTCCTTTCTCTCTGGCTGCCCTTAACATTTTTTCCTTCATTTCAACTTTAGTGAATCTGACAATTATGTGTCTTGTAGTTGCTCTTCTTGAGGAGTATCTTTTTGTCATTCTCTGTATTTCCTGAATTTGAATGTTGGCCTGCCTTGCTAGGTTGGGGAAGTTCTCCTGGATAATATCTTGAAGAGTGTTTTCCAACTTGGTTCCATTATCCCTGTCACTTTCAGACATCAATCAGATGTAGATTTGGTCTTTTCACATAGTCCCATATTTCTTGGAGGCTTTGTTTGTTTCTTTTTACTCTTTTTATCTCTAAACTTCTCCTCTCACTTCATTTCATTCATTTGATCTTCAATCACTGATACCCTTTCTTCCAGTTGATCGAATCGGCTGCTGAAGCTTGTGCATGCATCACGTAGTTCTCGTGCCATGGTTTTCAGCTCCATCTGGTCATTTAAGGTCTTCTCTATGCTGTTTATTCTAGTTAGCCATTCGTCTAATCTTTTTTCAAGGTTTTTAGCTTTTTTGTGATGGGTTCAGACATCCTTCTTTAGCTTGGAGAAATTTGTTGTTACCGATCGTCTGAAGCCTTCTCTCAACTTGTCAAAATCATTCTCCATCTAGCTTTGTCTGTTGCTGGCAAGGAGCTATATTCCTCTGGAGAAGAGGTGCTCTGATTTTTAGAATTTTCAGCTTTTCTGCTCTGGTTTCTCCCCATCTTTGTGGTTTTATCTACCTTTGGTCTTTGATGATGGTGACATACAGGTGGGGTTTTCATGTGGATATCCTTTCTGTTTGTTAGTTTTCCTTCTAACACTTAGGACCCTCAGCTGCAGGTCTGTTGGAGTTTGCTGGACGTCCACTCCAGACCCTGTTTGCCTGGGTATCACCAGCAGATGCTGCAGAACAGCAAATATTGCAGAAAGGCAAATGTTGCTGTCTGATCATTCCTCTGGAAGCTTCATCGCAGAGGGGCACCCGACTGTATGAGGTGTCAGTTGGCCCCTACTGGGAGGTGTCTCCCAGTTAGGCTACTCGGGGGTCAGGGACCCACTTGAGGAGGCAGTCTTTCTGTTCTTAGATCTCAAACTCCGTGCTAGGAGAACCACTACTCTCTTCAGAGCTGTCAGACAGGGACACTTAAGTCTGCAGAAGTTTCTGCTGCCTTTTGTTCAGCTATGCCCTGCCCTCAGAGGTGGAGTCTACAGAGGCAGGCAGACCTCCTTGAGCTGCAGTGGGCTCCACCTGGTTCGAGCTTCCCAGCCGCTTTGTTTACCTACTCAAGCCTCAGCAATGGCGGGTGCCCGTCCCCCAGCCTCGCTGCTGCCTTGTAGTTTGATCTCAGACTGCTCTGCTAGCAATGAGCGAGGCTCCATGGGCGTGGGACCCTCTGAGCCAGGTGTGGGATATTATCTCCTGGGGTGCCGTTTGCTAAGACCGTTGGAAAAGCGCAGTATTATTAGGGTGGGAGTGACCCAATTTTCCAGGTGCCGTCTGTCTAGGCTTCGCTTGGCTAGGAAAGGGAATTCCCCAACCCCTTGCACTTCCCGGTTGAGGCAATGCCTCACCCTGCTTTGGCTCTGCACCCACTGTCCAACAAGCCCCAGTGAGATGAACCCAGTACCTCAGTTGGAAATGCAGAAATCACCTGTCTTCTACGTCACTCATGCTGGGAGTTGTAGACTGGAGCTGTTCCTATTCAGCCATCTTCGAACCTCTCTAATTCTTTTAATGCCTGTAGCATCTGTAGTGAGAACCTTTCTTTCCTGATTTTTTAAATTTGTTTGTTTAATCAAACTAGCTACAGGTGTGTCAATTTTATTGTTCATTTAAAAAACTCAGTTTTTGGCTTCATTGATTTCATTTTTCTTAATTTTATGTTTTATATTTCATTTATGTCTGTTTTTAAATTATTTCCTTTCTTGTATTTACTTTTTTAAAACATAGAGATATATAATTCACATAACATAAAATTTCTTATCACATGAAATTCACCCTTTTAAAGTATACAGTGCAGTGGTTTTAGTATATTCACAAAGCTTTGAATCTTCACCCTGTTCAATTCTAAAATATTTCAGTCTCTAAAAGGGAATCTCATATCTATAACAGTCACTTCCCATTTTCCACTCCCCTAGCCCCTAGCAACTGCTAATCTACTTTCTGTCTAAATGGATTTGGCCATTTTGGATATTTCATATGAATGGAATCATAAAATACGTGGCCTTTTGTGTCTGGCTTTTTCCACTTAGCATATTGTTTTCAAGGTTCATTCATGTTGTCGCACATATGAGCATTTCATTACTCTTTATGAAGGGACAATAATTCTGTTGTATGGATATATACCATGTTTTGTTTATCCATTCATCAATCAATGGACATTTGTGTTGTTTGCACTTTTTGGCTATTATGAATAATACTGCAATAAACATTCCTGTGCAAGTTTTTGTGTGGACATATGTTTTCAGTTATCTTGAATATATGCCTAGCAGTGGAATTGCTGGGTCATCTGGTAACTCTGTTTAACTTTTGGAGAAACTGCCAAATTGTTTTTCCAAGCTTCTGTACCATTTTACATTCCTGCCAGCAAAATATTTCAACACTGATTTCTCCATCTCCTCACCAACACTTATTGTCTATTATTGTGATTATAGCCATCTAGGAGTGTGAAGTAGTATCTCATTGTGGTTTTTATTTGTAGTTCCCTAATAATTAATGATATCAAGTATATTTTTATGCACTTACTGGCCATTTGCATATCAGGATCATTCTCTTTTGATTATCTTTTCCCTGTGAGTTTAAATCATGTTTTTCTATTGCTTCATATATTGAATAATATTAGATTACACCTGGGTATTGTGTATCCCTTGTTGTAGAAAATGTAGATTCAGTTATGCTCTCCCAAAGAGTTTTGATGTTTCAATTTTATTAGGCAGTAACCTTGTCTGAACCCAAGATAAGCAATAAGTGAAGTCTCATTTTAGTTGTTTTATCCTTAGATAGGCTGCTTCGAATCTTCCTCATATATATGGGATTCAGAGGTCAGCTAGATATTTGGGGAGCATTTATACACAAAATTTGAGGCTCTTCTCTCTACCTCTCTTATCTGATATTTTCCCCCATCACTTTACAGCTGTTATAGTTGCCCTGAATTCTAACCTTGAACCAATAAGACTGTAGGTTTCTAACTTTTTTTGAATGTGGCACCAGCTGAGGCTGTAAAACAATGGGAAACTCATTCTTCTTCCAAGTGTCGGCACCCCCTTCGCTAGCTCTCTACTTGCTTTTTGTCCATTCACTGACTTCTAGTAGTTGTTTTTTAAAATATTTTGTCCAGAATTTGTAGTCATTATGTTAGGTAGGGTTGGTCTGATAGTAACTGTTTAGCCATTACCAGAAACAGAGCCTCTCTGTTGATTTTTGTTAACTTGTTTCCTCAGTGGTATAGACATTTCCTCCCAACAGCTATTCTACTGGTAGTTGCCTTTAAATTTCTCGTAAATATTTATCAGAAATATTTTTCTTATTATAAATTATTTTAAAATATCTGTGATTTCCTTGGAATACAAGACAACTCTTTACGGTTGGTGGATGATATTACTCTTCATTCTTTGAATTCAAATGTGTCAGTTTATCAAATTATTTCTGTGGATTTCTATCTGTTTTCCTCCCATAGATTTAATTACTCTAGGAATAATGATTTTAGTGTACTTGGATGCCTTTTGGAAACATAGCAAACTTATTTCACACATAATTTTATAAACAATTATATTTGCTAGAAACCAAAGGAAGAGTTTTGGGTATTACATAGAATTAATTATATGAAAAGTATAAATATTATATATGGCTATTTGTAAGTAAGTTTGGAATTTTTTAATATCCTTAGTGTAGTCTTCTAATAGCACAAGGAGTGAATGTATAAATTATCTTCTTTTGGGGCCACTGTGACTAAGGGATTAAGAAGCATTCCTGTTTCCTTCCAAGTTCTGTTCTAGTAGGAACTACTCATTTCCTACCTTTAAGTGTCTTCATTGAACTTGAAAAAGTACCAGGGTGGATTTGTGGTTTGATCTTAAATAGAATATACAAATAACTGTCCATGCATTTAAAAAATTTATAAAATACATAATTTCTCATTTCCTTTCCACTTGCCTTTAGGGTTCCATTACCTTCAAATGATGATGAAGATGATGATAAAGAGAAAATGCAGTGTGACAACAATGTTAAATCAAAGACGTTACCTGATATTCCCTCTTCAGGATCAACAACACAAACTTTATCAACTCAGGATAATTTGGAAGTGTTATTTCTTAAAGAAAATAATCAAAATGTATATGGTTTAGATGATTCAGAACATATTTCTTCTATAGCTGATGTACCTCCCAGAGGTGAGATTGTTTTAAAAATTCATTTTGAATATTTGTATTAGTTACATTCATCCAATATTCTTCCTGAGGGCAATTATGTGTAACAGTTAATAAGTTAGCTCTCTTATGTTACAGATTTGCTAACTTCTGCCATTTAAAACTGCTGGTGATAGATTTAATTTTAAAGTAAATATGCTGACAAACATCAGATCCACAGTGGCCTAATACTGTTACTCTGGAAGAAGTGTTTAGAAATAAATGGACCTAATGAGCTTTTCTTGGTATCTTAGCTCATGATTTGAAAGATATCATATATTTACTTAGTTTTACCCTCTTTTTTTGTAGATACGAAAATTGGGGTTTAGATAGATATAGAGAATCTTTTAAGATCATCACCAATTAATTAGTGGTAAAGCAAAAACTTGAGCCTGGGTAATGGTTGAGCAAGAAAAAAGATGGCATTTACATTTTATTTACATAGTATTCCTAAATGATAATCTGTGGTATAGTCTGGTGCTTACAGATTTGCCATAGATTTTCAGACTGGAATATGGAACCATAACAATTTTGAATTTAGAGGTTAGAATTGTTTTTCCTTTCTGAAAGTGTGTGTGTGTATGTGTGTGTATGTACACGTATATAATATATACACACACACATATACATATATACACACGTATATATGGTATACACATAATGTATACAGTATATGTATATACGTCTATATATATTTACACACATATTTAATATATGTATATATAATTTATATAAATTTTAGATGCCTGTTGATAGTCTTTGATAGTAATCCTTTTCAGAGTTATCACTATTATCTGGGTTCATTTGCTGGCCTCCTTCCACTCTAGAAATGTATGCTAATGGCTCTACTGTTGGCTGTACTCCACTCTACTGTTGGGGCTGAGGCAGAATTCTCAGTATATATTTTCTATAGATACAAATGTAAAATGTGATTTAGGAGTACTCATCATTTCTAACTTATTTTCTTATAAGCATAGATTCTTAGTAATATTAGGATCTGAGCAGAACACATTGTCAGAAATTATATCTGTGAAACAGCTTGATTTCTAATCTAATTTATTTAAAGTAACTTATTACTTATTTCATTACTTATTTCTGAGTTTTGTTTTCCTTTTCTTAATAGAAAGCCATTCCCACTCAGACCAAAGTTTTAAGAGTTCTCTAACGAGTGAGATGAGAAACGCCCAATCTATTGGCCACAGATGGGAGAAACCATCTCCTAGTAATGTGACTGAAAGGAAGAAGCGTGGGTCATCTTGGGAATCAAATAATCTTTCTGCAGACACTCCCTGTGCAACAGTTTTAGATCAACAACACATTTCAAGTACAGAATTAAATTGCAATGATGAGATAAATGGTCATACTAATGAAACAAATGCTGAAATGCAAAGAAATAAACAGGATCTTCCTGGCTTATCTTCTGAGTCTGCCAGAGAACCTAATGCAGAGTGCATGAATCAAGTTGAGGATAATGATGACTTTCAATTGCAGAAAACTGTGTATGATGCTGACATGGATTTAACTGCTAGTGAAGTCAGCAAAATTGTCACAGTTTCAACAGGTATTAAAAAGAAAAGTAATAAAAAAACAAATGAACATGGAATGAAAACTTTCAGAAAAGTGAAAGATTCAAGCTCTGAAAAAAAGAGAGAAAGATCAAAGAGACAGTTTAAAAATAGTTTAGATGTGGATATCGGGGAAAAGATTGAAAACAGGCCAGAAAGATCTGATGTCCTGGATGGCAAAAGGGATGCTGAAGATCCTGGTTTTATTTTCAATAATGAACAGCTGGCTCAGGTGAATGAACTGAAGAAAATGACCCTTCAAACTGGCTTTGAACAAGGTGACAGAGAAAACATACCGTGTAATAAAAAGAAGAAAAGAATAACAAATGAGCAAGAGGAAACATACTCCTTATCCCAAAGTTCAGATAAATTTCACCAGGAGAGTAAACTTGATAAGGGTCAGAATTCCCTAACTTGTAATAAAAGTAAAGCTTCTAGACAGACATTTGTGATTCACAAATCAGAAAAAGATAACTTACTGCCAAACCAAAAGGATAAAGTAACCATTTATGAAAACCTAGATGTCACAAATGAATTTCAAACAGTCAGTCTTTCCACCAAAGATAATGAAAATTTATGTGATTATGGGACCCACAATATATTGGATTCGAAAACGTATGTCACTGATATTCAACCTTCTGAGCAAAATGAATCAAACATTAATAAGCTTAGAAAGAAAGTAAACCGGAAGACAGAAATAATTTCTGGAATGAACCACATGTATGAGGATAATGATAAAGATGTGGTGCATGGCCTAAAAAAAGATATATTTTTTTTCGAAACCCAAGAGAATAAAGAACCTATCTCTGAAAACATAGAAGTTTCCAAAGAGCTTCAAATCCCAGCTCTTTCTACCGGAGATAATGAAAATCGATGTGACTATAGGACCCAGAATGTGTTGGGTTTGCAAAAGCAGATCACCAATATGTACCCCGTTCAGCAAAATGAATCAAAAGTTAATAAGAAGCTTCGGCAGAAAGTAAATCGGAAGACAGAAATAATTTCTGAAGTGAATCATTTAGACAATGACAAAAGTATAGAATACACAGTTAAAAGTCACTCACTCTTTTTAACTCAAAAAGATAAGGAAATCATCCCTGGAAACCTAGAAGACCCAAGTGAGTTTGAAACACCTACTGTTTCTACCAAAGATAGTGGAAACCTGTATGATTCTGAGATTCAAAATGTTTTGGGGGTGAAACATGTCTATGATAGGCAACCTGCTTGTCAAAATGATTCAAAAATAGGTAAGAAGCTTCGACTAAATGTATCTCAAAAGTCGGAAATAATTCCTGAAACCAATCAAATATATGAGAATGATGACAAAGGTGTACATGACCTAGAAAAACATAACTTCTTTTCTCTAACCCCAAAGGATAAAGAAACAATTTCTGAAAATCTACAAGTCACAAATGAATTTCAAACAGTTGATTGTCCCATCAAAGATAATGGAAATTTATGTGATTATGACACCCAGAGTATATTGGATTTGAAAAAGTATGTTACTGATAGGAAATCTGCTGAGCAAAATGAATCAAAAATAAATAAGAAGCTCAGGAATAAAGTGAATTGGAACACAGAAATAATTTCTGAAGTGAACCAGATATATGAGGATAATGATAAAGATGTACATGTCCAAGAAAGCTATACAAAAGATCTTGATTTTAAAGTAAATAAATCTAAACAAAAACCTGAATGCCAAGACATTATCAATGAACACTATATGGAAATCAACAGTAATGAAAAGGAAAGTTGTGATCAAATTTCAGATTCCTACAAAGTAGTTAAAAAGTGTAAGAAAGAATCATCATGTAAAGCAAAGAACATTTTGACAAAAGGTAAGAACAAACTTGCTTCACAGTTAACAGAATCTTCACAGATATCTATCTCCTTAGAATCTGATTTAAAACATATTACTAGTGAAGCAGATTCTGATCCAGGAAACCCGGTTGAACTATGTAAGACTCAGAAGCAAAGCACTACCACTTTGAATAAAAAAGGAGATACCCCTTTTGTGGAAGAAATAAAAGGAGAATGTCAAGTTAAAAAGGTAAATAAAATGACATCTAAGTCAAAGAAAAGGAAGACCTCCATAGATCCTTCTCCAGAGAGCCATGAAGTAATGGAAAGAATACTTGACAGTATTCAGGGAAAGTCTACTGCATCTGAACAAGCTGATAAGGAAAACAATTTGGAGAATGAGAAAATGGTCAAAAATAAGCCAGACTTTTACACAAAGGCATTTAAATCTTTGTCTGAGATATATTCACCCAACATACAAGATTCTTCCTTTCACAGTGTTCGTGAAGATTTAGTACCTTTGAGCATTTCTTCTAGTAAAAATGTGATAATAAAAGAAAATTTTGCCTTGGAGTGCTCACCAGCCTTTCAAGTAAGTGATGATGAGCATGAGAAAATGAACGAGATGAAATTTAAAGTCAACCGGAGAACCCAAAAGTCAGGAATAGGTAGGTTAATAACCATTATGAAATGATAAAGCTTTAGAAGTGTTTTTGTTTTTGTTTTTGTTTTTTACTTAGCCAATGAAGCATTTTCTAAGTGGTATTTTTATGGAATTTAAAAACAATGTATAACTGAGTACATGATCCATAGAAATAGCATGAAGGAATAAAGAAAGTTTCATACTTCGGGAAATAACAGTGAGAGTATCTTGGACATTTACAACTACAAACGGATTTGGCCTTTACCACAAACTTGCCTAATAAAGACCTTAGGCAAATAATTTCCTTTTTCATACATTTGAAGAAAATTGAATGTTTTAAATGCATACAATAATGAATTGTACTGGTTTTTATTTTACTGAAGACAGTTGCACTTTTCTTGAGGGTGAGAGACTTTCCCCATTCAACAACATATATTTAATGTGATCAAACCCTTCTAGATATTTTAGAGGATTGAAAAATAAACAGTACCAACCCCCTTTCCTCAGATTCCATGCATGTAACAAACATCATGGTGAAATGGAATAAATGATTCTTTAAGCACATGTATTATGCTAAGGGATATAATGGGGCATAATTTTGACTAGAGGAATCTTCAAAAGCATCCTTAAATAGGTAGCATTTTAGGCCCTAAAGGATAAGTAAGATTTTTACCTGTAGTATTTACTTTTTATTTTTTCCCAGTTATTAAAACAGTACTCATTGCAGAAAATCAAAAGTAGAAAGTCAAAAAGGGAAGGGAAAATAATCACCTGGGAGAACTTTAGTCCATTTACCATGTGCATGCAGACCCAAATCTATGGAATTTTAAATATATATTTGAAGTCATACTATAAATAACATTACTTATCTCATTTTTTTCCTTAACAGTGAATCCTAAAGTTCTTTTGCCATTAGAAATTTTGTAATATTAAACATTCCTATACCAATTAAAAATTTTTACTGGGAGCCTATTATTTCAATATTATCTCTGTAGATCCCTAAGGTTTTGGTGGGTAAGTCAATTCCAGGTAAAGACACACTGAAGCAAAAGAATTACGAAGGTCTAGAGTTGCAGGATTTGTTAGAGGACTGGTGAGACATTTTTTATCTGCTCCTCATGGTGCCTTTCACAGAGTGAGTGATCAGTGGCGTATATGTTGAATGAATGTTCTGTAATTTGTGTGCTTCCATGAAAAGAGTTGGACTAGGATGAACTTTTGGGACCCATATGTGATTTCAGAATAAAAAAGTTGCCGGCTACTCTGACAGTTTGTTTCAAATGTTAGTCTCTTTCCTCTCAAAATTGAATCAAGATTTAAAATTTGCTGCAGGGATTTGCAAACCACTATATAGCTCATATCTATTTGTATCTCTATATACTTTTAAAAATATTTGTGAAAAATCATATTCTTTTCAGGCGATAGACCATTACAGGACTTAACAAATACCAGTTTTGTTTCAAATAACACTGCTGAATCTGAAAATAATTCAGAAGATCTATCTTCAGAACGGACAAGCAGAAGAAGAAGGTGTACTCCTTTCCATTTTAAAGAGCCAAGCCTCAGAGAGTAGGTATTTCAAGTGATTTTAGTATGCCATTATAAAATATATCCTTAAAAAAAGTTCTGCCTGAATTAGTATTTGAGCACTTCTGATAATTCAATAAAACGTATATTATTGATACGTAACAACCACAGTATGATTTGGGTAAGATTTGAAGAAATATGTCCTTTGAACAGGCTATTTTTGGGGGGTTGGAGGGTTGTCTGGATTTAAATTGATTTACTTTTGGTTAGTTCCCAGTTCTACTACTGTCATATTTTAAATTGTAACCTGATAATTATAATTTTTAAAATTCGTGGCCTATGATTTGCAAGCTATTTTTGTTACCCCATTTGTTTATTTCCTACCTTTTTCCCTAGAAGTCAAAGTGGTTTATGTGTCCTTTACTCTCAAAAGAATAACAGTCCTTTCTCTTTATTTTTGTAAATTTCAAACATACCCCAACAAAGAGAATAGTGCCCTCCTCCAATTTATCCATTCCTCAGGTTCAACAGTTATCAACACTGTCATATTTGCTTCATCTATCCTTTTTGTTATATTTTAGAGTCTCAAATACTGAGTCATTTAATTCTGAAAACACTTCTATATATCTCTCTCTAAAAAGTAAGAACTTAAATTTCTTAGCAAAACTAGACAACAGTGATCACATCTAACAAAAAAGAATGATTTTCATGGGTATTTTAAAACAATAACCAGCAGATGGCAGTAATATAAGGGAGGGTAAAAGAAAGTTAAAAGTGAAATTAAGGACCAAGAGGCCTTTCTTTTTTTCTTTTCTTTTTTCTTTTCTTTCTTTCTTTTCTTTCTTTCTTTTTCTTTCTTTCTTTTTTCTTTTTTTTTCTTTTTTTAACAGCTATTGAGAGATACAGTTCACGCAATTTAAACTGTACAGTTTAGGCCAGACATGGTGGCTCACACCTGTAATCCCAGCACTGTGGGAGGCTGAGGCAGGTGGATCACTTGAGGCCAGGAGTTCAAGACCAGTCTGGCCCCCATCTCTACTAAAAATGCAAAAAGTAGCCAGGCATGGTGGTGCGTGCCTATAGTCCCAGCTGCTCGGGAGGCTGAGGCAGGAGGGTCACCTTGAACCCAGAGGCGGATGTTGCAGTGAACTGAGATTATACCACAGCACTCCAACCTGGGAGTGAGACTCTGTCTCAGAAAAGAAAAAAAAAAGTGTGCAATATTCTGGTTTTTAGTATATTCATAGATATGTGCAACCATTACCAGAGTCAATTTTACAACATTTCTTTACTTAAAAAGAAACCCTGTACCCTTTAATTATCTCTTTCCTATCCCCCAATTCTAGGCAACCACTAATCAACTTCTTGTCTCTCTAGATTTCCCTGTTCTAGACATTTCACATGAATGGAATAATAGAATATGTGGTATTTGCAACTGGCTTCTTTCACCCAGCATGTTTTAAAGTTTCTTTCATACTGTAGCATGTATCAGTATTTCATCCATTTTTATGACTGAATAATATTCCATTGTGTAGATACTACATTTTGTTCATCCATTTGTGCTTTGATGGACAATTGGGTTGTTTTCATCTTTTGGCTGTTATGAATATGCTACTATGAACATTAGTTTGCAAGGTTTTGTGTGTAAAGTTTTTTCTTTTTTCTTTTTTTTTTTTTTTTTTTTTGAGACGGAGTCTCGCTCTGCTGCCCGGACTGGAGTGCAGTGGCCGGATCTCAGCTCACTGCAAGCTGTGCCTCCCGGGTTTACGCCATTCTCCTGCCTCAGCCTCCCAAGTAGCTGGGACTACAGGTGCCCACCACGTCGCCTGGCTAGTTTTTTGTATTTTTTTTAGTAGAGACGGGGTTTCACCGTGTTAGCCAGGATGGTCTCGATCTCCTGACCTCGTGATCCGCCCGTCTCAGCCTCCCAAAGTGCTGGGATTACAGGCTTGAGCCACTGCGCCTGGCCAGTTTTTTTCTTTTTTCTTGGATATATCCCTAGAAGTGGAATTGCTGAGTCTGTGTATAATTGAGGAACTGCCAAGCTGTTTCCAAAACTGCTGTACCATTTTACATGCTTACCAACAATGATGATTTTAAAAAATTTCTCCTTATCCTTACCAATACTTGTTTTTCTATGACTTTGGTTCTAGCCATCGTAGTGGGTTTGAAGTGATAATTGCATGGTGGTTTTGATTTGCAATGCCCTGATAACTAATGATGTTGAGTGTCTTTTCATGTGCTTACTGGCCATCTGTATATCTTCCTGGAGAAATGCCTGTTAAGATCCTATGTCCATTTTTCAGTTGGGTCATTTGCCTTTTAATGAGTTGTAAGTTAAACTTTTTATTTTGAACTAATTTTAGACTAATGGTAAAGTTGTAAAAATAATACAAAGGTTTCCCATATGGTCCTCTCCCAGCATTCCTTAATTTTAATGTCTTATGTGCCCAGTAAAATTATCAAAACTAAAGAATTAGCATTGGTACAATACCATTAACAAACTATAGACTTTCACTAACATCACTTTCTGTTTCAGAATTCTATCTGGAGTCCCACATTGCATTTAGTTGTTGTTTTTCCTAAGCATCCTCTAACCTATGACAGTTTCTCAGTCTTTTCTTTTTTTCTGCGTTGGACACCTTTGAAGACTACTAGTCAGTTTATTTTGTAGCATATCTCTAGGTTTGGGTTTGTCTGATGTTTTCTCATGATTGCAATGCAGTTGTGCTTTTTTGGCAAATATTTCACAGAAATTATATGTCCTTCTTGCCTCATTTCAAGGCTTTATGATATCAGCGTGTTTCATTACTGTCATGTTAGCCTTGATTCCTTGGTTAAGGTGGCATCTGCTGGGTTTCTTACTGTGAAGTCACAATCTTTTCCTCTGTTGTTAATGAACATGGAAGGGAGATACTTTGAGTCTATATATTCCATTTCTCAAACTTTCACCCACTAATTTTAGCATCCATTGGTGGATCTTGCCTGCAACAGTTACTACTATGGGAACTATTAGTAATGATTTTTGATTTCTCCCTTTCCTTCTACATTAATTGGAATCCATCTGTAAGGAAGAGTTGTCTTTTCTCCCTCTATTTATATATCTCTTTTGTTCTATAGATGAAAGTCCAATACTATCAATATTTATCTGGTTGCTCAAGTTATTCCAACTTTGACCACTAAGAGTTCCTTCAGGTTGGCTTCCATGTCCTTCTGACATGACTTTGTACTGTTTGGAGCACTTTCTTACTTTCTGACACACGGGATGTTCCAGGCTCATCCTAGTGAGAAGAGCCAGAATCAGGCACTTCTTTGAGAAGCCTGGTTCCCTTAATTAGAGAATTTTGCTTAGAAACCAAGATCTGAGCACTAAGTATGCTCATTGCTTATATTGTGTTGTATTAGTTATCTGTTACTCCACAACAATATTCCCATAGACCTATGGCTTAAAGTAGCAATCTGGACACAGCTTAATTGGGTGCTCTGCTTAGGGTCTAACAAAGCTGCACTAAAGGTGTCGTCCAGGCTGGTTCTCATCTGGAGGCTGTACTGGGGAAGAATCTGCTTTCAACTCACACAGGTTGTTGGCAGAATTTGTTTCCTTGTGGTTCTGGACAGACAGCCTCATCTTCTTGGTGTTGACTAGAGGCTGTCCTTAGCTTCTTGCCACACGGCCTCCTTTCCAGCATGGCCACTTACTTTAAAGCCAGCTATGGAGAATCTCCAGAGCAAGTCCTCTAGCAAGATAGAGTCTTATGTAACAAAATGTCATCTCAGAAGTGAGACATCTCATCACCTTTGCCAGTGGTCTCCTTGTTTATTGTAGAGGATCTATAGTATGTTTTAATGTCTGGTGGGGCTAGTATCCTCTCATGGTTTTTCTTTTTCATTGTTTCCCTCACTGTTCTTGAATGTTTGTTGTTCCAAATGAACCTTAGGATGGTATTGACTTGTCTGGCTCGGAGTTTCATAACCTTAGCACTGTTGACATTTGGGGCTAGATATTTCTCTTTTATGGGAGGCTATCCTGTGTATTGTAGGATGTTTAGTGGTATCCCTGACCTCCATCCACTAGATGTCAGTAGCACCCTCACATTTATAACAACCAAAATTATGTCTCCAGATGTTGCAAAATTTCAATTGCGAGGTAAAATCATCCTGAGTTGAAAACCACTAGTCTATAAGTATTTAGTTTTCTTTCTTGCTATTATATACGGACATGTAACTGATGCCCAATGTTGTTCATATATATGAAAGCCGTTGAATTCTGTGTCATTTTATATCTTGCTACTTACTGAACTCTGTTATTCTCTTATCTCACTGATTGTCTTGAGTTCTCCAGGTATAGTATGATATCATCTGAAAATAGAGATAGTTTTACCTCATTACCCCTTTGTATGCCTCTTATTGTTTTTGTATTAGCATTGGCTAATAACTCAGGTACAATGTTAAAATAGTAGCAGGAATAGTAGGCATGCTTGCCTTGTTCCTGACTTTAGTAGAAATACTTCTGTTGAAATATTTTTGTCTCTCCATTAAACAAGATACTTGCTTTAAGATTAAGATATGTACATAATTTACTAAGAAAATGCCCCTTGATGCCTATTGAGTGTTTTTATCATGAATGATTGTTGAATTTTGTCAAAGGCTTGTTCAGCATTTATGAAGATAATCATACACTTAATTTCCTTACATGCATTAACATGGCATCTGTTGATGAGTTTTCTAGTACCAAACTCACCTTGCTTTCCTGGAATAAATCTCACTTTGTCATGGAGTATGTTTTTCTTTTCTTTTTTTTTTTTTTTTTTTTTTTTTTGAGACGGAGTCTCTCTGTATCACCCAGGCTGGAGTGCAGTGGCCGGATCTCAGCTCACTGCAAGCTCCGCCTCCCGGGTTTTTACGCCATTCTCCTGCCTCAGCCTCCCGAGTAGCCGGGACTACAGGCGCCCGCCACCTCGCCCGGCTAGTTTTTTGTATTTTTTAGTAGAGACGGGGTTTCACCGTGTTAGCCAGGATGGTCTCGAACTCCTGACCTCGTGATCCGCCCGTCTCGGCCTCCCAAAGTGCTGGGATTACAGGCTTGAGCCACCGCGCCCGGCCGGAGTATGTTTTTCATAATGTGATGTTGAATTGAGTTTGCCAAAATATTGTTTAGAATTTTTATGTCAACATTCATAATTGATGTGAGTCTATAGTTATCCATCTTTGAATTGTCTTTATCTGGCCTAGGTATCATATTAAGGGAATCAAGAAAGGTCACTGTCTTGGTTCCTTTAATGAAATAATTTCTATTTCATTATAATTTATAGTACATTATAGTTTATGTTTATAATTATTGTTATATACTTATATAATTTTAGAACATTGGGACTCTGGTTTTTGGAAGTTTGTTAGCATCCCCCTCTGAAACCATCTAGACCTAGTATTGTTTTGTGTGGGATAGTTCCTTAATAATGTTGACTATTTTTTGTGTGTGTGAAAATTAGTCTGTTTAAACTTTTTTGCTCTAATGGGGTCAATTTTTGTTATTTGTATTTTTTTCATTATTTGTATTATATTTCCATAGGAAATTATCCATTTCATCTAAGTTTTCACATTTATTTGCATAAAAGTCTGCAAATTATCTTTTATGAATTAGACATGTAAATTAATTTTAAATTTTTTCCCATAGTTATTTTACCTATATCATTTATCATTTTTTGAGTGTGTTCTTTTTCTCTTTTTCTTGATCAAATTAGGTAGTAGTTTATTTATTAACTTTTCCAAAAAATCAGGACTTTGATTTACTAATTGGATCTATTTTTCTGTTCTCTACCTCACTGATTTCTGCTTCATATTTATTATCTCCTTCTTTGTGTTTTCTTTGATTTACTTTATTATTGTTGTTTTCTTATTTCAATTTATTATTTTTATTCTTTCATTTATATAGATAACAGTGTTTTATGGCCAGGCACAGTGGCTCACACCTGTAATCCCAACACTTAATAGCCAGGCATGTTGGCATGTGCTTGTAGTCAGTCCCAGCTGCTACTAGAGAGGCTGAGGTGGGAGGATAGTTTGGGCCTGGTAGGTTGAGGCTGCAGTGAGCCATGATTGTGCCACTGCACAGAGAAAGATCCTGACTCAAAAAATTAAAAATAAAAATAAATAAATAGAACACAAAAAACAAATTTTAAAAATAAGTGTCTTTTGCAATCAATTTTTCTTTGATCAGTGCTTTCAGTGTATCTTGATTCTGATACATAGTGTTTTCAATGTGGTTTTTAAGTTTCTCCTTTTATTCAGGAGTTATTAGGAAGTTTTAAAAATTCCAGGTAGATGAACCTTTCTGGTTTTTTGTTTTTATTTGTAAATCTAGTTTTATTGCATTTTGGTCAGAAATTATTTATCGTAATATTTCTGCTTTATGGAAATTGCCAGTATTTTCTTTGTGACTTACTATAGGATCAGCATTTATAACTGTGCTGTGAGTGCTTGCGAAAAATGTGTATTCTCTATAATCAGGATCTAAAGTTTGATATATATCCATAGACTTACTGTATTTATTATGTTGCTTAGATCTTCTGTCTCTTTACTTATTTTTTGTAAATAAGTGATCTGTTTTGTACTAAGGTTATACTAAGAGTCGTATATTAAAATGTATTGTGTCCTGTGTTTCCATGTATCTCCCGTAGTTTTTGCTTCAGAAAGGTGGTTCCTCTGCTTTTTGCTATGTAAATATCATAATTATTACCTATTCATTTTGGATTGTGGCCTTTTTTATATTAAAAATGTCCTCATTTGTCATGTTCAGTGCTCTGGACTAAAGACTTAAAGTCTTTAAGAGACAAAGACTTTAAAAACATATTTATGTGACCTTCCTGAAAACTCCTACCACTCATATCTTCAGTACCTATGATGATCATTCCATAATAGCAAGCAGCTTTAATTAGGATCTACTTTCATAGGAGCTACTAAAAGCTGTGATATACCTAGTGCATACCATTTCCAATCCAAAAAGAAGGAAGAAAAAAAGTTGCAACTGGGTGGTCATCACTCAGAATTTATACTGAATGTTGTGACTTTTGCTTTTAAAATTGTACCAGCTAAGCTGTATAGCAAGTCATCTGCATGCACTGTACATCTAAACTAAAATAGAACATTATTTCCTTACAGCATTTTGCTGTGTTTTATTTAGAGTAGGTACTTCTTTTGACAGGATTAATTCAACTATCTAATTACCCAAGGCAGTGGTATCACACTGGCTCTGGAGTACAAAGGAGTGAAAGAGACCTTTCTACCTAATCTTGTATACCTTTTTAATTTGGGACCATGTCTATGTATTTCATCTAAAAACCACACTTACACACATGCATGTAAAATATAAATAAACTCTATATCTTGAAACATGATGTATTAGGTGCATGAATCCACCCTCTTACTGAAAAAATAAAATTATTGGGTAAAATACTAAAAAACGTACCTTGAACGCATTTCTTAGCTAATGACTATTAGCTAACCAATGTTTCTTTTAGTAGGAAACTAAGAAAAGCTCAGATCAAAGATCAAATGAGAGCAGGAACTCAGGGGAACTGACCTTATCCTGAAGATATTTGTCTAACTAGGTGAACCTAAACATTTCATTCACAGCCCTATAGGGCTAGGGACAGAAGACAAATCCTAGGGTTTATCCAAAATAAAGAGTCTATTAGATCTTCTTCCACAAAGTTGATCTACTTTCTCAGTAGAAGAGCAAACTAAAAATAACCTCCCCACTAGCTTGCTCAGCCCCAGGGAATAACTTGGGTGCTGAATTAAGGAGGAAAAAAATATTTCCGTAGAATTCATAACCAAAATACAGCCTTTATTAGATTATAGCTGGAATTCACAATATTTTGAAGGCACAAAAAATTGAAGCTGAGGATTGAGTATAATTAGTGCATGAACTGTAGTGCCCTGTTGTCTGTTAGAAGCAAATATTTTGTAGGGAGTTGTCCATCTCACACCTCAACATGTTTTTTGCACAGCCAAAGTTCCAAGGAAAATGAAGGGCTAGCTCACAGTTAAGAAAAACACTACATACACAGGGGAACAAGGTATCAGCAGAAACAGCAAATCAGACACAGAATATAAAATGCTTAATGTTTAAATAAAGGAAAGGCTTGAAAATGAATGAAGATGTTGAGTGGAAAAGGTAAGTCACAGAAAAACGCCTACAGTACGATTCCATTGATATAAAGATATCTATTAAACATAGATAAAACCAAACATTATACTTTTTAGGAGAGCAATACACAAGTGCTTAAAACAAAAACCATAAAGAAGGCGTGATAATACAATTCAGGATAGTGGTCCCTTTTTCGGGGAGGAGAGGGATGTGATCAGAAAGGGGCACACTGGAGGTGTGGTAATATTTTGTTTCTTAATTTGGGTGTAGGAACATGAGCACTTACTTTGTTTTTAAATTGTATATTTTCACATGTTCTTGAACATATGCTAAATTTCTAATAAAAAGGAACTATGTAATAAACACATAATATATAAAATCTATGTTGATTAATTTTTCTTAAATATTTGAAATGAATTATTTGAAATACTCTGATAGTAAGAACTATAAGATTTCAGAAAGAATAGAATATTTCAAATATTTAACAAAGCTTTTCAAATATTTAACAAAGCTTATGGTTTAAGGAAACTTCTTTTCTATTGATATGATGAAACAATTTTCTTCTCCATGCGTCACAGCAAAAGCATTAATTTTGGGTTGTTATTAATCTTCCTTTTTTTCTACTTTGCAGCAAGATGAGAAGATGAAGTGAATGTATGGATTCTGGTTTTTCTGAATTTTCAAAGCATAAAGAATCAAAACAAATATAACTAGTATCAAGAAGATGAAGTGCTTGATGAAAAGTTTTTTTGGCCTTTCACGGGGTGTTGATTTGTCCATTCTTAATATTTATTAATAGGTATATGTGCATAAAATAGCTATTTTGTAACATTAAGCTTTTTAAGTCATTTTGGTCATCATATAACATCTTCCTATTTATTTAAGCTTCTTTTTACCTAGTCGCCTTTAACCAAACAATAGCTATTAACGTTTTAAGCAAATAAAATGTGTTAAATACCTTTGCATTGGTTATCTTGTATACTAGTCTGTCTTGTTTTGCTGTGTGTTTTTAATCCATTCAATATATGTGGACATCTAAAAGGGTTTAAAAGCCACCTCCTGCCCTGGCCTGTTTTCTCTCCCTTCATTCTTCTATTTTCAGAAATACATGTTGATTGCCAGCTTCTGTATTACTTCTATTATATGTAATCTGATGACTTAGAGGAGGAGATTAACCTTTCAGGCTCTTTTGAATTTGGTTTTCATAACTTTATTTTAAAGATCACTTACTCTTCCAGTAATAAGTAGTAAAAAATCCTATTCATATCTGAGATCAATACACAGTTTATTGAATTCAAATAACTACTCAAACTCTATTCCACCTAGATGGAAAACTTTTTTAGACAGTATCTGACCACTAAAGGGTGGGCCCAGAAATCTGCATCTTAATCAGATGCTTCCGGTAACTCTGTCCTAGGATTGTCCTAGTACCACACTTTGAGAGACTGCAGTAGGGGTACAGAGTGCTGTAGGGGTTTAGTCAATAGCTCCAGTGAAGGATGGATATTCAAAGAATCCCAGTTGATGAATGAAGAAGAAAGACTAGAATTAGAAAAATTGCAACCCCCTATTAAAACTAATGGATGTAAAACAATTAGGTGAAATGTTGATGAAGAAATTCATTACAAAGGAATAGCCCTCAGAACCCACTGATCAATGTTAGCATCATTATGAATGAAACAACCAAGACACCATATGCTTCCTGCTGTGCTGCAATATTAAGTGTGTGGTACCACCTATGAAGTGTTCTTGCCCTCTCCCCACAAAAAAATTGAACCTGAATTTAATCAAAGCTTTAGATCTAATATTTAGTACACAGGAAATAAGTAGAGTAGAAAAACAACCCAGGGAGAGGCACATTCAAAAAATGTTTCATTTAAATAGGACAACTGACCTGGTTTCTTTTTTAATATGTTAACAGTGTTAAAAAGTCTGTTTTCGATCAAAAGAGACTGAGACCGCATGCAAATACATTGCACAGCTCTTGCTTGATTCAAAGAAGTCAAGTGTAAAAGACATTTTTTAGACACTAAGAAATGGCATTGTAACTGACTAAAAGCATGTGTATGTGTGTTTTTGAAGTTTTTAGGGCTAAAATATGTCCAGGATTGGCTTTTAAATACTACAAAAAATGGAGTATGGCAAAATGTTTTGTTAAAACTCAGTGAAGGGCAGGTAGATGCCAGTTGCACTCTTCACTTTTATGTACAAAGTTTGGAAAATTTCACAACAAAATTTTTGTATTTACATAAATGAAATAACATGGGAAAATGTTCTAAGGTATGGCAAGTGAAAAGAAGCCTGGAAAATAACTAGTTTAATCCCACAAGTTTTTAAAGGTGTACATGTTTCAAAAAGTAAGGATAGACTAAAGTGAATGGTGGTAAGCTCTAAGTTGTGGACTTAGGTGATCTTTATTTTTATGCTTTGCTGTATTTTCCAAGTTGTTTTTTTTTTTTTTTTTTAAGTTTTCCAAGATGTTTTACATCTCTGTTCTTATTTACCAGATAAACTTGGTGGTTAGTTACTGGATAAACTGTAAATAGTGATAAAATTTTTAAATTTATATCAAGGTAGCTCTTCGTTTTAAAACCAGTAATTATTAGGTTGGCGCAAAATTAATTGCAGTTCTTGCCATTGGAAGTTATGGTAAAAACCGCAATTACTTATGCACCAACCTTATATTTCTAGAAGATCAAGTTGTAAACCTTTTTGTTTTCCCTAAGATCTGCTCCTGCAGAGTTGGAATAAATATGATTGTTTACACTTAAGAGTCCAGAACTACAGCAGGCCTGGTTGGAGGAGAGGTACTACTGTTCCCAGACTTAAATCCAGCTGGAACACCACCTAAAATACGCAATAACATAAGACCATCAAAAGCAATGTCCCAGGACTTACAATGTTTGCTAAGACGCAAGAGGGTGTGACACAGACGCTCAGCGCCACTGGCAAGGAGATGAAGGGGTCGTCTTCATCTTCGCCGGATGATTTCCGCCCACATAGAGGGCGCCAGTGACGCCCACACACGTGCTGGTATCCCGGGAAGAGTTTTCCTGGCAATGAGCTCAGGAACGTTGGATCTTAATCAAGGCTTTCTCGGTCAGGGTGTGGGTTGGACTTCAGGCTCCAGCAAGCCCCGCCCCACACGGCGGGTCGGTGCCCCCCGGTCCCAGGTGCCCGCTACTTCCCAGAACCGCCGCCTCCCGCTCTGGGCCCTCGAACCAGCGCGGACACCACAATGGACGGGGCGTCCGAGCTGCTCTTCTACGTGAACGGCCGCAAGGTGAGCGCCCGCGGGCTGCCCCTGCCCCCAGACCCGCGGCCCGGGCGGTGGCAGAGAGGAGCCCCCCGGCCGTTCGTCCCATCCTTTCGTGCCCGCCGCTTAAGACGCTCAGGCACAGACTGGCTTTCTCCTTTAACAGCGGCTTTGCCTTCGCGTTCCCACCCTGCCTCCGGGGCAGATAAAGGCTGCGTTTTCAGGGACTGTCCTGGATCTTTGGGCCCCCAACTTCCTCATATTCCCCTTTCCTCTCCTTCCAAGGTTCAGAAGCTGATTACCAAACACACGCCCTCCCTAAACAGTAAGATAAAAGGTATTCTTGCCCAACAAGGTCAGCACTCCCAAATCTTCCTTCCCTCAATCCCAGCTGATAACGGGAACGTCCCCAGTACATTGAGAGCAGCCTACAGAGAAGGCTGAGCCTCAGCTCGCGGGGTGTGTTTGGAAGCGCAGAGAGCAACTTAGATTCCGGACAAGACCGTAGAGACACATTCAAGCCACTCCCATCGTTTCTCAGATGAAGAAATCGTTACTTTCCAAAGTCACAGCTAGTTCCTGGCAGAGTTGAACCCAAGTCAGGCTCTGGGGACTCCAAGGTCCTCACGGGGTCCACTGCTGGGTGCGGGCTCTATCCCCTCAGAAGCTGGGCTCGCTCTGCGCAACCTGAGGGACAGTTCCAGGCAGTGTCCGATGTCTGGGAGCAGCAAAGCCCCGTGGGCCTCCTTTGAAACACCCCCCTGAATGTGAGCATCAACTCTGCTCACTCTTAATGTTGTTCCAGTTTCATTATTACTCTGAAGGAGGAAACTGAGGCAGGAAGGTTAAGGAGCTCCCTTAAGAGCTGTGGCTCACGCCTGTAATCAGCACTTTGGGAGACCGTGGCAGGAGGATTGCTTGAGCCCAGGAGTTCGAGTTTAGCCTGGGCAACATGGCAAAACCCTGTCTCTACAAAAAAAAATAACCAGGTGTGGTGGTGTGTGCCCGTAGCCCAGCTACTGGGGAGGGTGAAGGGGGAGGATCGCTTGAGTCTAAGAGTTCAAGGTTACAGTGAGCTGTGATCACACCACTGCACTCCAGCCTGAGCAAAAGAGTGAGATCCTGTCTCTTAAAAACAACAAAAACAGAGCTAACAACCAAGCAAGAGCAGTGGCACCTGCTTTCCCTGGTGCTCGTGTTGGTGCTGGTTCACTCAGAGCCACCTGTGACCCCTGCTTCTGGCTAAGGGCAGCCGCAACACTTTTCCTGATGGGCACCAGCTGCCTCCCCTGGACGCTAACCAGGGTGAAGCATCAGGCCCTAGTTGTGAGGCCTGTTCTAAGACCCTGAGCCTAATTTCACTTGTGGTTTTGTATTATGTTTCTTAAAGAGGATCCCCCAAATTGTACGTTAGGCCCCTCAAAAACTTGGTCTGCCCCTGCTGCCTGAGTTCCACATTGGATAAGATGAGCTCGTTTTCCCTGATCTGTAAAGGGGATCGTTAGGACCCCTTCACAGAACTGCTGTGAGGATGAAATATGACAATGGGGTGAGGTGATTGACATGTCATTTTTTTCCTTCTTTTGTGTAACAGAATGATATAGTAAACACAACACTGGTTTTGTTGTTTAGACAAACAAATCTTCAATTCCAATTCTAATTCTGATTGAGAAAACCTAACCTCTCAGAGGCCAGTTCCTCTGTTAAAAGGGGATGATACCACTTACTTCATAAAGAGTGATCATGAGCATTCAATCCACTTCTTTGTTAAGGGCCTGCCGTATGCCAGGCAGTGTTCCAGGCTTATGAGATACCACAGAGCACAGAAATAACAAGTCCCTGTGTGCATGGAACTTACATTGTGCTGGGGAGATAGCAAGCATATAAATACATGGAAATGTGTAATGTCAGGAATTGAGAAGTGCTAATATAAAAAATAAAGCACAGCATGGGGACAGAGAGTGTGCAGGATACTCAGAGGGGATGGATGTTTTGGCCTGTCTGAAAGGGTGGCATTTGAGCAGTGACTGGGATGCAGTGAAGAGCAAGCCATGCAAACATCTGGGAAAGAGCATCCAGGCAGTGGGAATGGCAGGTGCAAAGGTCCTGAGGTGGAAGGATTTCTGTGTGCTAAGGAGGTAGGTTGGTGGGGCGGGCAACATGGGCAGGGGCCAGATTACTAGGCCTTTATAGGTGATGGTAAGGGTTTGGGTTAAATGAAGAAACAGGGCTTTTGAGTCTAACATCTCCTCACTTCTCCTTCCCCCACTTCCAAACAAATATTGGGATTTTTAACATAACGGCCAACAATAGTTTGTGCTCTGTTGATTTTTAAAATTAGATAAGCTAGTTCTTATCTATGGACTCACTTTGTCTATGAGCCAAATGTCCTGTGGTTATTTGTAAAGTATAATCTGGAGATATTGATTCTGTTTTTGCAATTACCCATTAGAATAAATTGTGTTAATCTTTCCCTTTCCTTCTCCTCCCTTCTAAATTCTGTTAGGTGTGTGCTTCAGTACTAATAAACAAGCGTGATTACTTACATGGAAAGAACTAGAATAAGCTTTTTTTTTTTGTGTGTGTGTGTGTGTGTGTGTGTGTGAGATGGAGTCTCACTCTGTTGCCCAGGCTGGAGTACAGTGGTGTAATCTCAGCTCACTGCAACCTCTGCCTCCCAGGTTCAAGCAATTCTCATGCCTCAGCCTCCTGAG